GTTGTCAGTTTATACAGAGCTAAACAGCTGAGATGTCTGAATTCCAGTCTCCTTCAGGACAGTCACAATTTTGATAGCATGAAATATAGAATACATTCCCTATTCAGTCTCCTTATGCACAAAGCACCAGTCTTTAGAACAAAACCTTCAGGTCTAGTAGACTACAGCAGCTGAAATAGAGCAGGACCAGGTTCAAAGAGGTTAAGAAAGTGATCATTATTCACTAACTTTACAAAGAATTGTGAAATCTATTAGGACACTCCCACAAAGTACATGGAGCTTTAAGTAAACTGTTATCCTATGAATTTACAACTGTGAGGGAAATTTTCTTTGAACCTGTAGTTGCCAGAATAAGGACCTTTCTACCTCTCTGATTTCTTGCTGAGCCCCTGTCCCTGGCTCTAAAGAAGTCTTTAATGGGGCAAAGCAGAGAGAACGCTTATGCACCATGTTCTAAGCACTCACTATCCTTGATTAGAACAGAATTTGCAATGAATAATGTATGTAGTGATGATCAATCCTGACTCCCTAAATGAAAATCACACTTAGGTAGTATGCCCGTGGAAGGGCTTTCCCACTGAGATTATAACACAGTGATAAGAGAAAGCAATCTTGTATAGAAATACGCTAAATGGACCAACCTTGACTACAATTTGTTAGAAACCTAGAGGAATTAGGAAATATAAAAACATTAATTATAATTCTTTAGCCATGTCTCAAAAAGCTAAAGCTACATATATGTAGATACTGGACTTCTTCAGAAGGTTTGAGAGATATTGATATTTTAGGATTCTAGGAAATGCCATAGACTTAAGCCCTAAATTTGAGTTTTATGAAGAATCAAATAAAGGAGATTTCCATCAGGATCTTGCACAGCCATTTTACTCCAAGCTCTTATTTTCAGCAAGCCAGGAGCCCTAGAAAATTTGGGAGGAACTTCCTAGTTTCAAATCCTGTAATCAGTGGTTTGAGGAGGATGAAACACAACCTCATCCAGCTAGCAGATACATCCTGAGTGCCTGCTCTTGTCGCTGGGGATGCAAGTTCTTCTAATTTCTTAGAAATATGCCCATACAACAGCCTGATTGTTAGAAGAAATGAGGACCAGAGAGTAAACGACTGAGGTGATATGATTCACGAGGGCCATGCTGGTGCAAGCTTGTGCCAATGCAGGGCTCTCTATGCTGTAACGTGCTGCCTTCCCTCTGTAGGCTTCTCAAGGGGAGCTGTGGCTAGCTGTCTCTAACCCGCTACCCTGCAATCACCAGATTCTTCTCAATTAACATTTTCAGTGTTGACACAATAGGCAAATTAGGATGTACTTGCAATTAAGGGTATTTATTTTAAAAGCTAACTTTTAAATTCTTAGACCCCCAAAGAAAATGAGACTCTAATTTTTATATAAATGCAAAATTTTAGCTTCCCTTAATTACAGTTAAAAATGTAACTGCAAACAAACGTCAAACCAGAATGCCAAAACAACAGCTTTAAGCCATATTTCACAAGTTGTTCTTTTAGAGACGTCTTCACATTGTCAATCAAAGAGATAATTTTGATTTTGCCACAGCTCCTGCCTCCATTAAAAACAGCAAGTGTGTGATAGCATAAGAAGTTGGGCAAGTGAGTTGTTCTCAAAGCTGTTGATGGATAGGAAACCAGAGAAAATGGTGAGTCTGGGGAGAAATTTTTGCTATATATTTTCAAAGATAGTATTGAGCACTTCTTTTGGTAATGCTCTGCTCTAATAATAACATCAAAGTGGAATCATCCCAAGGATTAATTATTACATCTTATGAATAAAGCAGGTAATACTGAATCCAAATGTTTGCTAAATGGTAACAGTAGGGTATAAAATGATGCTTTAGGAGGCAGTTGTAGTAGAAGTTTTCAATTGTCCTGGCCTGCTGGTGGTCGGGACAAATCTCTCCCACTCACATTCCCCAAGTAAACACACAGAGGCTTATATTAATTATAACTCCTTGGTCATTAGCTCAGGCTTATTACTAACTAGGTTTTACTCTTAAATTAACTCATAATTCTTATCTGTTTAGCCATGTGGCTTGGTACCTTTTCTCAGTTCTGCCTTGTCATCTTGCTTCCTCTGTGTCTGGCTAGTGACTCCTGACTTAGCCTTCTTCTTCCCAGAATTCTCCTTGTCTGCTTAACCCACCTATATGTCCTGCCTGGCTACTGGCCAATCAGGTTTTATTTATCAACCAATCAGAGTAACACATATTCACAACATACAGAATGACATCCCACAGCATGCAGTGGTCTTAAAAAAAAAAGATGAAACAGAAGAAATAATACTTCAGAGTGTCTCTAATGTACAAGGCAAGTGCTAGATGCTTTAGAACCCACAAAAGGATAGCTGGTATTAGTATGCCCAGCTTGCACATAAGGAAAAAGGTTAACATGGTTGGGTTGCCCAAGCTTGACAATGGCCAAGCTGAGATGTAAATCTGTTTGCCCAACTCAAAAGCCCACAAAATACAGAGCCCTTGCTTCACCACTGGGATTCCTTGCTGTTGTTGTTTAAGGCAGGGTCAAACTATGTGTCCCTGACTGGCCTGGACTGGCCTCAAACTTGCAGTGATCCTCCTGCCTTAGCGTCTTCCATGCTGAGATTACAGGTATGTACCACCATGGCCAGCTATGAGTCTTTTCAGTGTACCTACATTAAACATGTCTATTTACTTCCTGTTGCTTCTAAGTTTTTGTGGATTTGTTCCCAAAGGGTGAATGTTCATCACACTGGTGATAAGGTAAATCATGTATACTTAGACCAATCCTCAGAGAAGAATTCCAGAAACATTTAAAACAGTAGTTCTAAAACCTGTGGGTCATTACCCCTTTGGGGGCCACATATCAGATGCCCTGCATATCAGATATTTACATTAGGATTCATAAAAGTAGTAAAATTACAGTTATGAAGTAGGAACAAAATCATTTTATGGTTGGGGATCACCACAACATGAGGAATTGTATTAAAAGTTCACAGCATTAGGGAGGTTGAGAACCACTGATTTAAAAGGTAGAAGGATCTCAACCACTGTGGCAGACAGCATTTGCCCATACATAGATAAGCCTCATTAACCCAGCAACATTGAAAATAAGGAATCTTATATAATGTAAGAATTCTTCAGATGACCAAGGTTCAAAATCAAAGACTTCCGAAGGTTTTATTTATTTCACTGTATCTTTTTGAAGATTGCAATTCTGTGAATTCTCTATAGAATACATTACTGCTTTCAGATGATAGGCAATCACTATGGCCATTGGTTATGAACTCATACTATAAAGACAGGGAAGACATTTCTGAAGTTATTGACATACCCAGGGCCACCAGCATATATTTCTAATATACACTACAATGTTTGTCTAAATTATAGTGATTTTGAAGTTTCTGTGTCCATACAGAAGTTTCCTTTAATCTTACATATGCTCAGTTTCCCAGTAGTTATTCCTCCAATAAGCTTGGTTTGTTTACATTTCTTGCTTATAAGGTTGCAGCTTCTAATATGCTAACCAATCATGAAATGAAGAAGAAAAAAAAATATAATATTCAATATATATAATCATGAAATGAAGAAGAAAAGGGGCTGATGAAGAGTCAGGTAGGTACAAAGACAACATCATCAGGGTACTGGTATCTCTAGGAGAAGAAGGAATGTGAGTGACATTAGCTCTGCAGTTCGTATTTAGTCAAAGAGAAGTAGAAATAAAATCAACCCATGCAGCATCAGAGATGAGCTTTGTTCTTAGGGAACTGTGAAGATCTGTCCCATAGTCCACCACCACTGTGCTGGGGAGAGAGTTCTGCGCAACAAACCCAGTTATGTAATTAAATATGCCTGCGATCTACTGCTGCAGCCCTACCCCAGATTTATTCTCAGAAAACAACTATAATTATGGAGAACTAAAAAAAAAATCATAAAATGTATAAATAACACTCAACATGAACAAAATCTTTTAATGAGATTAAAATGAAAGGAGGGGGCGAGCACGATGATTGCTAAAGGCCTGGCAATCTGAATTCAAGCATGGCACCTGCATAAAGGTGGAAGGAGAGGACCAGGTCCACAGAGGTGTCCTCTGACCTCCAAATGTATTCTGTGGCACGCGTGCCAACACACACATGCATGCATGCACACACACACATGCATGTGCACACACACCAAAAGCAATAAATAAAATTTCTTTTAAATTATGTAATAATCAGTAGCCAGTCAATCATCAGCTTCCTTTGTGCAGACAATAATAAAAAGTAAAAATTTATGTCTTTATAAGGCTTGTATTATTCTAGAATGTAATAATTAGATCAATGCATGTAAAAGGAATAATCGCTATGCCCCAATTTAAAAGTCAACAACAGGGGAAAAATCAAGTTTTATGCTATCTGTTAGATATACAATTAAAACAAAAGGGTTCAGAAAGAATGAGCGAAGTCACTCTAGGAAATTAAAACATGAAAGAAAGCAGAGTTGAGACGTAACTCTAGAAAAGACTCATGCAAAGATAATTTATCAGAACGACAGTACCTTGGGAGCCTGGGCCAGAATGCTTTCAGAACTGCTGGTGCCACCTTGAGAAGAGCCTCAGACAGTTAAAGACCAGACAGAAGAGGAGCCAACGAGAGGGAAAGTGGCAAAAAGCAAACCAACATTTTTATCTTAAATATAGGATTCACCAGTTTTTGGGTGAGGTTACAAATGTTTACAAATGCTCAAACGTCGAGTAAAATTCCGCCAGCAAAGTAACCCAGATGCCATCTCTGCCTCGACGAACCAGGGGCCTTTGCACAGCAATGTGGGCAAGCTGAGATCCAGCTGAATCGCTTCAAAGTGAGGGAACAGACTTAAGTTCCGATGAACTTACATGTGAAATGTGTCTTTAGTCCTGACTTTAATGTTATGATAATATCTACACCGATGTTTCAAATATATATTGGATACTTATTTAAGGATAAAATAGTTTTAAGGAATTATTCTTGACTGTACCTTTCATTTTTCAGTGTTAAAATTTCTTCCTGTGTCTGATGCAGGAGAGTTTGGGCCATCTCTCGTTCATTTTCTGCAAGGTTGATTCTTCTTTTTATATCTTCTTCTTGCCTTTCTTTTGTGGTCAGCTCTTCCTGTAAAGTTTTATATAGTTGTTGACATGTCATTAAAGAGTCGTCTTTTTCTTTAAGTAGCCTATTGTGCCTAAAAGGAACAGGAAACAAAGTATCACAAGCATACATTAGAAACAAGGATTTTATAGTTAGGCTATGATTTCATATTTTGGAGAACTTTCATCATAATTACAACTTAAAAACGAAGATGCTAAGAACATGGATAGCTCTACGTTAGATTTTTCCCACTGTGGTAACTAATTTCATTGTCAACCTGGCTGGATTGAGAACCACCACAGATTTTGAGTCTGTCTACAAAGGCGTTTCTGGAAAGGTTTAGCAAGGAGGGAAGACTCTCTTTGAATGCAGACAAAACCTTTCCATGGCCTGGGGTCCAGATAAAAGAAAGAGGAATCAGGGTTCTGGTAATTCACCACTCTACTTCCTGACTGGATGTTGTAACTAGTTGCCTCATGATTCTGTACCTTGCATTCCCTGCCATAATGGGCTGTATTCGTCTCAAAAGTGAGCCAACGCAAACCCCTGCATCCTTAAGTTGCCTTTTTTTAGGTACTGTGTTCACAATGATAAGAAAAGTAAGAGGAAACTGGTGCCAAGGAGTGAGATAAATAGTCCATGTGGTTCTTAGGCCTTGGGAACTGGTTTGTGGGAAGAATGTGGAAGAGTTTGGAAGTTAGAGCAAGAAAACCCTTGAATGCTGTAAGCAGAGTGTAAGGGACATTCAAGTAGAAAACTGGAAGATCAGAATGACGGGGAAGAAGAAATGCAGGCAGTGGAGCCCCACATCGAGAGATCTCAGATGCATCAAAGAGGAATCTCTTGGGAACTCAGAGCTAGAGGCTATTCACGTCATTTTCTGGAAGAGAACACGGCTTCCCCTGCGTCCTGGGAACTTGAGTGAGACTGAATTCGAAACCGAAATACTAATTTGTTTGGTGGAGAAAACGTGAGGCTGTGACAACATTCAGGCTGTGTCACGATCACTGCTCACTGTTCTCATTCAGGTCAGGTCAACAACGACAGGCAGTGACACGTGGGCAGAATGACATGAAAAACACGCAGTTTGGGGAAGAAACTGTCAGTTGAAAGTTGCTGACGGGCAAGTGCAGACAAAACAGTTGTAACCGTTATAGAGATTCGGACGACTCAAAGGAGCTGCAAACTGTACCAGTGGGAAAATGGGAAAGACGCGTCCCCCCTCCCCCGCCCCCCATCAAAAGCTTTGACTTGTGAAAATGCATGTTTACTTAAAAGAGAAGCTGAGCTGAGAAGGGTCCTGAGGGGATTCCCTGTTTGAAAACCACAGCTTTGGAAAGCACTTTCTCAGATTCAGGAGTGTTATGACAGGAAGAGGTTGGTAGCAGAACCAGGCAGTGCCATCTACCTGGTGCTGGTTTTCTAGACACGTAAAACACAGGGTTACCAGGGAGTCATGGAGGCTTTCTCCCAAATAATCCACAGAGCTGCTGAGGCTAGGTAATTGTTGGAAGGTTTGGTTCACCACAAGGAACCCTGAGAGGCTACGGGTAGAGTTGTGAAGGTAAATCCTAAACCGCAGTGGAGAGCACAGGGTATCATAGAGGCCAGGATCATGGGGTGTCTGATGAGGAAAGCTATAGGCGTGGCAAGGAGAAAGCCCAAGAGAAAGGCTACATGCACTGCAGGAGGCATGCTTGGGGGGACAGGTGACGTGGAAGGCCATCAGAGCCCAGATAATTCTGTCACAAGCCCCAGATGTGCGACGTGGAACTGTAGCATTTGGTGTTTGCGTTGATGTGTTTGACTTGCTACAATACCATTCCTCCACTTGGGATGGGAATGCTTACTCTGTGGTGTTATATATTAGAAGTGTGTAACTTGCTGGTTTCTTATTTTACAGTAGCTCACTTAAGGAGACACTGGATTTTGGAGCCGTGTTGGGATTTTTTAAAGGCTGGGTCTGCACCCTGAGATGAAAATGAGACTTCAGGGGCCACGTGGAATGTTATGATGTAATGTTTGGAAGTCAAGTTGACAAGGAATGGGGCTGCGACTGTTCGTCTCCCTGTCAACTTGGCAGGACTCAGGATCATCCCAGAAATCCTTCTTTGGTGGTGTCTATAAGACTGTTCTGAGAAAGGTTTAACAGAGGAAGAAGAACTACCCTGAATGTGGGCGACACTATCTCATAGGCTGGGGTTTGGACTGAAAGAAGACGAGAAAGTAAGCCGAAAGCTGCATTTATCTCTGTTTCCTTTTGACGTCCACCTCATGTTCCCACTGCCATGTGGACTGACGCTGTTCCTTCCTAAACCATGAACCAAAGTGGACTCTTTGTCCCTTAAGTTGTTTTTGTCACAGCAAAGAAAAAAGTAGTGACATCAATGTCAGCAGACACAGGAACCATGGACAAGGCAAAGATACAGAGCTATCAGGAGGTCCAAATTAGGTATTACATATATAAGCAAGAAAACAACAGGCATGTACAATCTCAATAAGAGGATTTTAGAAATATGGTTTAAATTCAGTTATTAAAGTGTTTATGAAAAATTTGCAGTATATACCTTGACTCAGAAATAACAGACTCAAACTTCAGTTTCCTAAGTTCTCTTTGACAGTTATCAGCATCATTAGATTTTTTCCTAAGACAAAAGTATTTTGAAATAGTTAAAATGCATTATTTCAAAATAACATGTTTTTTTATGTTTTAAAGTCTTCATATTATTATTACTTAAAAATACACTTAAATACCCAAATTACCGCCTATCAGATAGACTGTATTTAACCAAGAAGAAAACATTTTGAACATTATCAAACAAGCCCCACAACAGAACAAACCAGATCTTATCAATATTACAAACTGATCAAAAGTGAGGGGAGTCTAGAGAAAAAAAAATGACTCTTGGGATGGAGTGACACTTATATGATTGAAGTCATCCTGCCATCCAGGGAGCAGCATGTAATGGCACACCGGTAAAGCCACAGAACACGTGGTGGCATACAGATTAATAGAACTGGGCTGAGTTTAGTTATAAGAGCTAGCTAGCAAGAAAATTGAGCCATAGGCCATGGCCATGCAATTCATAATTGATATAAGCCTCTGTGTGTTTACTTGGGTCTGAGCGGCTGCAGGACACAGGAAAACTTCCAGCTACAGGGAAGTGAGGGGTTAAACCTAGGGACAGCTTAGGAGAGGGAGTCTCCAAATAAACTCCGCTGGTCTCCAATCTTCAAGTGCACAGGGCAGATTCCACACAGCCCAGGTGAAGATAAAATAACTGAAATGAGATGGAGCTGCTGCCCTAGAGACAACCTGTGGTATAAGACCAACCAAGTGACTTGTCTGTGCAGTGACACCACCTAGTTTTTTATTGACTTGACACAAGTAGGGTCATCTGGGAAGAGGCAACTTCAGCTGAGAAAATGCTTCCATCATACTGACCTGTGGCATTTCTTGATGAATGGTTAATGTGAGAAGGCCCAGCCCACTCTGGGTGGTGCCACCCCTTAGCAGGTAGTCCTGAGCTCTATAAGAAAGCAGGCTGAGCAAGTCAGGGGAGCAAGCCAATTAGCAGCATTCCCCCACAGACTCTGTGTCAGTTTCTACCTCTAGGTTCCTGTCATGAGTTCTTGCCCTGTCTTCTCTTTTATAATGGACTGTAAACAATAAACTCAAACAAACCCTTTCCTTTACAAGTCACTTTTGGTCATAGTGTTTATCATGGCAATAGAAAGCAAATTAGGACACTACTTGAGATCAAATCATGTAACAAGTAGATGTACATAGTGACAGCATGATGCTACCAGGTCACATCCTGTGTGCCAGATAAAAAATGCACACAAGTCGTCACAACGGTACTGGGAAAATCAGAGCATAAACAGTTATATGTCAAAAAGAGCAGACGTTCCAACAACAGAGTGTCCAGCTATGTTAGGAGGGCAAGCTAGAGATTCACAAATTAGTAATGGAGATGGTAGGAAGTTTACTGTGGTACAGACTGTTAAATGAGGAGTGAGAGCTGCTAATAAAATATAATCATGTTACAAGGGTCCATAAATTAGGAAACGAACCGTTTTAGACATACAGTCTGTGGCTTTCCCTCTCCATGTCTGTGGTTTTGCTTTCTGAAGTTTCTGTTGCCCTACTACAGTCAAAAAATAATAAACTGAATGTTCCAGAGATAATCAGTAAGTTTTAAGTTGTACAGAATTCTGACTACTGTTATGAAATCTATTGTCCTACCCTATTCCACCAGGGCACTCATCTCTTTATCCTGTGTGCTCACATTATTGATTCTACCCATCTCCAGTTCTCTTAGTCCTGCTCAGGTGTCAGATCCACTACTGTGTTTATCCCAGTGTCTGCTTGTAAGTAATCTTTACATGGCAGCCTAGGACCGTATCACAATGTCACTTGTATCTCATAAGATAGTGAACACAGTACAACAAGACATGAGAGAGCTCAGTCCTATAACTTTCATTACACTATAACTCTGCTTTTAGTTATTTATCTTATCTTGTGTCTAAAACATAAACTAAACTTTTCAGTGGTACACAGGTGTGGTGGTTTGAATGAGAATGTCCCCCATAGGCTTAGATGTCTGAATACTTGGTCCCTAGTTGGTGGAATTGTTTAGGAGGAATTAGGAAGTATAGTCTTGTTGGAGAAGGTATGTCACTGGGGGGTGGACTTTGAGGTTTCCAAAGTCCAGTGCCTTGCCAGTGTGCCCTTCCTCTGCTTCTTGCTTCTGGATCAGGCTGTGAGCTCTCAGCTGTCCCTGCTGCCATGCCTTGTTCCACCATCATGAAAATGTAAGCTCAATTAATGCCATCTTTCATAAGTTGCCTTGGTTGTGGTGTTTTATTACTGCAATATAAAAGGAAGGAAGAAGGTACAGGGAAAACTGTGTGTGTGTGTGTGTGTGTGTGTGTGTGTGTGTGTGTGTGTGTGTATGTGTGTGCATGTGTGTGCACGCGCGCGCGTGCGCACGTGCATGTGAATATGTGCACATGTGCATGTGTGTAGGGTTTAATACTAACTATGGTGACTTAGGACTGAGCATTTTTGTTTTGTTTTTTCAGACAGGGTCTCGCAATCTCTGGCTGTCCTGGAGCTCACCATGTCGACCAGATTGGCTTGTAGCTCACAAGGATCCACACACCTCTACCTCCCAAGTGTTGTGATTAAAGGAATATTGCCACCACACCTCGCTAGGCACTGAGTCTTGAAGCACAGCCATTGTGGATAAGTGTTGGGCAACTACTGTATTAGTTACTAATTGACAAATTCCAAGATATTTTAAACAAATTTGCTCCTGTTGCTAAATTCATGAAAATAACACAATCTTCAGGAAATATATAATCATACTGAGTGAAGTAAGATTCTGCACAAACCTCATTCTTATTCCTGTGGATTCTTGGCAGAGAACTGCAAATAATTCTAACAATTATTTATTCAGTTCATTTAAACCAATGTCAAGTGTGTGCATTCATATTTAACATGAAAAGGATAATTTTATGGTCCCATGTTTAATTTCTCAATTCCTAATAGTTTGTTTTTCATAATAATTATTTTTTTTCTTTGATAGATATAATTCTGAATATACTTAGTGGATATCAATTACAACTTTGATATCTTCTGTTTGCTAATTTGAATTTCTTAAGGTGTTAAAGGTTTCCTTCCTGAACTCTTAGTCACTTTGAGGGGTGGGATGGGGCTTAGAAGAGTTTTTGCCATACACTTAGTTTCTGTTGTGTTCATACTTAGCCTTACAATTCTGTTTATTTTTGGAGGTGAGGTGAAGGGGCAGTTTGCTACCTGCTGCGGGTGTGAGTTTTGTCTTGGCTGTGGCTTTCAGATTCTGGTCTCTACATGCAACGCTATCTTGGCTGACTGGAGGCTTTTGATGATGGGTTATCTGGCTTAATTGCTCTTCTTCATATAACCTCAGAAAATGCAGGGTGTGTGATTACCCCAAATTATATGCCAAAATGGATCCCATCAAATGGGGGTGTCTAGAGGAGTTTTTACAAACTCCCCAGGATTCACTAGGTCTCATGGCCTTGACTTCCTAATGGGTGCTGAGAAAGATCCTGCCTATTGCATGCCTACCATTGCCAGTATATACAACTGGCTTTCCTCTTGTTCATGCCTTCATAGAGTCAATTCTTTTGTTGTCCTCTCTGTATATCAGCTTTCAGAAGTTCCTGAATAATTCTCATTCATGGCAGTCATTCTTGTAGTCTTATTTACTTGTCTTTATGTTGATAAATATATACATACTGTATATATATATATATATGTACATATATATCCTGATATATGTGCATACAGTTAATATTTATTTGAAGGTAATACAAATATATTTCATATCCTCATATGCATATTTAAAAAATTATACCTAGGATCTTGCATGACAGGCAAGTTTTTTTTTTTTACCACTGTGCATTATCCTCAGCCCTTTTTCTATTTTTTATTTTGATACACAGTCTTGTTAAGTTGTTCAGGCTAGTCTTAAACTCACTCTGTAGCCCACTGTTGTATAGCAATTTCCTTCCAGATAAAACATTCGATCTTGAAGAGAAGTTCCTTAAGATACAGGATGTTCTAAAGGGACGTGAAACATTCCACCATTCAGGAAAACTAGTTAAGCTTTGGAAGTAAACAACTTAAAAGATTCAGGAAGTCCCTAAAACTGACCAGATTCACCAGCACCTTCCCTGCCTAAGTGTATATAAACCATAATGATGGAAAGACATTCTCAGACATGCATGCTGAGTTACCTGAAAGAGGCAGAACAGCTATGATGGTTATTCTTAGTTATTAACTTGACTACATCTGGAATTAACTAAAATCCAAAAATGGAGGGCACACCTGTGAGGGAATTTTGTTTAACCTGAAGTAGGGAGATTTGCTTCTAATTGAGATCCTTTTTTAGGTAGGAAGACACAAGCCTTTTATCCAGATCTTGAGGTGGGAAGACATACCTTTAATCTGGGTTACACCTTCTGCTGGAAGCTATATAAAGCATGGAAGAAGGAAGCCTTTTTTTCTTTGCAAGCAATTCTATCCCTTCATTAGTATCAGAGCCTACTTCTTCTGGATGCCAACATATACTGAAGACTAGCTGAGACATCCAACCTCACTGTATTGAGCAGCTACTGGGTTCTTGAACACTTTGTTCACTGCCAGCCAATGCGGGATTAGCTGGACCACAACCTATAAGTCATTCTAATAAATACCCCCTTCTATATATAGAGAGATTAATTTTGTGAGTTCTGTTATTCTATAGAACCCTGACTAGTACATCAGCTAAGCTCTTGGAAGAGGCAGAGACCAACTAAGCTACCTAGAAGAAGCTCAGATAACCTAGCTACCTGGAAAAGATATTCTCCAACCTACTGAGCTGCCTGCAGGCTGTGCAGTGTACTCTAGGTTTCCAGCTTTTGTGAGCTGTCACTCATGCTGAGGTAGATTTTTGGTGATGCAGCTGTCTTTGAGTCCTTTCTGCTCCTAAAAGTAACCCCAAAAAGCTCATTTCACCAATTCGACATTAATGGTATCCTTTCTTTGGTTGATAGTACGTTCCCCACCTGCAGTGAAAAGATGCTTGTTCCTGGCTGTCCAGGAAGTGTCACACATTGTGCAGGCATGACTCTAACTTGTGATCATCCTGCCTTCATATTTTGAGCAGCTAAAATTATAGGCCTGCACCACCAGGGCTAGCTATAAAACTGCACTTTACAGCCTTCTTAGCTTTTATTATTTTGGTATTGTCCTTCCTTAATTATGTAGATAGTATGATAAAGATAGAATTTCTAGAAAGTTTTATTACTGACTTCCAGAGCACACGCTGCTGCTTTCCTTGTGACATCCATTGCAGCTATTTTCCTTGTCTCAGAATCTCAGTTATCACCCATCAAGATAGATACTGCTAGGTCAAGGCTCATTTTGGCAGTCCAGTTCCTCTTGCCAGTAATTCATTTAACAGAGAGGATGGAATGGGCTCCAGACAAACAGAAAAGGGGAGAAGGCTGTTTGGTGGTTTTAGGGGAATTTCCTGCAGGTTCTTTTACCACTAGATAGCCTTATTTACCACAGGATTGGCTACAGCCACATTCTACGCACAAGGGACCATAATCTAGTTGAAGCCAATGCTGAAGGCAGCAGGAAGGAGACAGGAATAGTGGTCTGAATAAAAATGGCCTCCATGGGCTGACAGGAATGGAAATATTGGGAAGTGTAGCCTTGTTGGAGGAAGTATGTCACTGGGGGGGTGGGTTTTGGGGTTTCAGAAGCCCCAGCTAGGCCCAGTGTCTCTCTCTCTTCCTGTGGATCCAGATGTAGAACTCTCAGCTCCTTCTCCAGAACCATGTCTGCCTGCATTCTGTCTTTTTTCCTACTATGACAATAATGGACTAAACCTCTGAACCCAATTAGATGTTTTCCTTTATAAGAGTTGCCATGGTCATGGTATCTCTTCACAGCAATGAAACCCTAACTAACACACAGGAGTATCAAAATCCTTGATAATATTGCTGAGCCTCTGGATCAACCAAATCAGTCACTAATTCACTTCAGTGACTGCAGCCAAAGCCTCCTAACTGATCAAAATAAAAATCAGTCGTCAATTATAACACATGACAATGCTGGGGATATGGCTCAGTTGGTAGAGCACTGGCCTAACATGCATGAGGCTCTGGTTCTACCCCCCCCCCCCCCCCGCCACATAAAACTGAGCATGCCTGTAATCCCAGTACTTGGCACTTAGGAGATGGAAGCTGGAGGATCAGAAGGTCAAGGTCACTCTTTGCCACCTGGCATGTCCCAGGCTAGCCTAGGCTAAACACACAAAAGAGCCGAAAAGCTAGCCAATTCCATTTATGGACTGCTCCTTCCTCCCATGATAAAACAACAACAAAAACTATATCCAACTATTTTTAAAAGCATATGCTTTATTCTTTATTTTTGTTTTACTTAATTTATAGTGCTAGGAATCAAGCTCAAGGCCTCCTACATGTAAGGCAGGTTCTCTACTATTTAACTATACCCTCAACCCTAAAACAATTTAAACAACAAAAGAATTACATTAAATTGAATAAATAAAGGTGACTCCTATTCCCAGCACCCACAAGTCAGGATTAAAATTTTAAAGGAAGCTCCTACACAATTTTCTAACTTCTAAAAGCCCAAAGAGGTTTGAGTATGTATAGAAAATCTCTAAATTATTAATCAGATTTTGTAAAACATTAGACTCATTTATTTTATTTTATGTGTAGGAGTATTATGTATGTATGTATGTATGTATGTATGTATGTATGTGACTTGTGTGTCTAGTGTCCTTCAGAGGTCAGGAGAGGGCACTCGATCCCCTGGAACTGAAAGTAGAGATGGTTGTGAGGCACCCTGTAGGGAGGAGACCTGAACCCTGGTCCTTTGCAAGAACAATAGCTGCTCTTAACTGCTGAGCCAGTTCTCCTGCCCCTGCACAGCAGATTTTTGAGTAAATTATTTCCACTTCAAATTTATCATTGGTCAAAACACAAGTTCAGTTCTAACCTTTTAAAAAATAATATCTGCAGGGACCTTCTGACCTCTGAGCACGGTGAGGCCTGCCGGGCTTTGATCCCAGGGATCCCCGCCCCAGCCATTTACGGCAGGGCGGAAACAGAAAGCAGTGGGGCACAGACGACGGGGTTCAGACATGCGCAGAGCAAGGCCTCTAACACTAGGGTCCGTTTTAAGTGGCTCGTTTATAACCCACATTTTCTGAATGTGGGTAGGTACTCGCTCCGATCTTCCCCTAAGCCAGTCTCCTGTGGTGGGAAGCAGTACTTCTGTAAGCTGGTCTAGCAGCGCGGCATTTCTGCAATCATACGGCAATTCTCTTATGAGCCATCAGTGTGACGGACGGTCATGAGGTGGCATGTTTCCTCCTCAGCTCCACTCTGCCAAGACTCCTGTCAATTCTCAGTACCAGGTTACAGAGATGATAAAAATACAATTAACAAAATAGCAGAGGGCTTGTGTTAATGTTAAATGGAACGGCTCCTGGTAGATGCAAAGGATTCTGTGCAAAGTTACTCTGGAAAAAAAAAATCTCAGTTTGTGTAGCAACCAATAAGCTTTATTATTTTTCTTCCATTTGGCATCTCTCTTACTTTTCCAAGAATCTACCTATAAGCTAAATTCTGGTATGATCACAAATTCTCTCTCAGCTTGGCCAGGTGCTATTCCTGGCCTGTGACCTCTTCACTTCTCCACTTAATTTTTTTAAGATTTTATTTTAAAGTGTGTGTGTGTGTGTGTGTGTGTGTGTGTGTGTGTGTGTGTGTGTGTGTGTGTGTGTGTG